GTTGCTGCAGATGGCAAGATTTCATTGTCTATGTGCCACCTCTTTATCCATTCATCTCTCCGTGGACACGTGGGTCGTGTTTTCTTACCCATTCAGCCACCCTGTGACTTTTGATTGGAGAATGAATTCATTTACATTTAAACTAATTATTGATAGGTCTATAGTGATTGCCATTTTATTATTTCTTCTTCCTCCTCCTCTTCCTCCTCCTCTTCCTCCTCCTCTTCCTCCTCCCCTTCCTCTTTCATTCCTTCTCCTACTCCTCCCCCACCCCCCCCACATTTTCTTCTTGTCCCTTTAACATTTCTTGTGCTACTGCTTTGGTGATGATGAATTCCTTTAGCTTTTTCCTATCTGCGAAATTCTTTATCTGTCCTTTGATTCTAAATGACAGTTTTGCTGGGCAGAGTAATCTTGGTTGTAGGTCCTGGCTTTTAATCTCTTTGATTATTTCCTGCCAATTCCTTCTGGCCTGCAGAGTTTGTGTTGAGAAATTGGCTGACAGTTTCTGGGAGCTCCCTTGTAGGTAACTAACTGCTTTTCTCTTGCTGCTTTTAGGATTATCTGTGCGTCTTTAACCTTTTAATTATGTCGTGTCTTGGTGTGGCCTCTTTGGGTCCATCTTGTTTGGGACTCTCTGTGCTTTCTGGGCTTGTATGTGTATTTCCTTTGCCAGGTTAGAAAGGTTTTCCGTCATTATTTTTTCCAGTAGATTCTCAAGTCCTTGCTCTCTCTCTTCTCCCTCGGGCGCCCCTAAGATGTGAATGTTGGTATGCTTGATGTCGTCTCGCAGGCCCCTTAGACTATCCCGGGAATTCTTTTTTCTTTTCGCCGTTCTGATTGGGTGTTTTCTGATACCTTCTATTCCAAATCGCTGTGTTGCTCTTCTGTTTCATCTAGTCGACTACTGATTCCATCGAATGCAGTCTTTCTTTCAGTTAACATATTCTTCATTTCTGACTGGTTCCCTTTTATGCTTTCCATCTCTATTCTTATGTTTTTTATCTCTTTAAGCTCTGAGTTCATCTTGTCTACCTCTAGATTCATTGAGCATCCTTATAACCCGTGTTGTGAACTCTGCATCTCTTCGATTGCTCGTCTCCATTTCGTTGAGTTCTTTTTCCGGGGCTTCGTTCTGTTCTCTCACGTGCTAGTCGACTACTGATTCCATCGAATGCAGTCTTTCTTTCAGTTAACATATTCTTCATTTCTGACTGGTTCCCTTTTATGCTTTCCATCTCTATTCTTATGTTTTTTATCTCTTTAAGCTCTGAGTTCATCTTGTCTACCTCTAGGTTCATTGAGCATCCTTATAACCAGTGTTGTGAACTCTGCATCTCTTCGGTTGCTCGTCTCCATTTTGTTGAGTTCTTTTTCCAGGGCTTCGTTCTGTTCTCTCACGTAAGACGTGCTCTTCTGTCTCCCCGTAGGGCTCTTAAGTCTCCCCATCTTAGTCGAGTGGCTTTATGTAGTAGGAGTGCTGTGGGGCCCCTTGGCACAGACCTGAGAGGGTTCCAGCTGCAGGCCAAGTTCGGCCACAGCCCGTGTACCTCCGGGGCCACGTGGTAATAGTTACCAAGAATCCACATATGGCTGCCACCTGTGCTGGGCTTATAGGTACCTCAAGAGGCCAAGCTAGAAACTGAGGCCAGCTGCGGGGCCTGGGGTACAGGGCTCAGCAAGAGGTGCAGGGCACACCGAGGCCAGGTGCTGCTGCTTTGGGTTTTTGGAGCCTTTGAGAGATTTTGGGAGCGTTTGCAGCCATTGCCAAGACAGCCTGTTTTTATGGAATAAACCACTGGAAGCAGCTTGGCTGCGTCCACAAGTTGAGAGAGGCGGGGTCTAAGGGAATCACCTGGGAGGAGCCACCTGTGTTATCTAGTTTGATGGCGACGCAGCTATGGCAGCGCCTGGGTCTGCACGCTGGGCAGGGGAGGGCCCAGCAAAGGAGCAATGGATACTGCCAGCACTTCTGTCCTGGAGAAAGCCGCCCCTCCAGCCTTGCCCTGAATCCCGACAGCTCAGCGCCTCCCCGAGTGTCCCTGGTGCTCTCTGGGCAGCCGCCCCGGTGCTGGAGCTCAGAGCGAGCGAGTCCATCAGTGAGCAGTGGGTAAGGCCGGGCACGGGCCCTTTAAGAGGCACTGTATTCTTTTCTCCCTGGTTCTTTTTTATGTTTTCCATCTGTTTTTATGTTTGTTATCTCTTTGTTAAAGTTCCCATTGAGTTCATCTACTCTTCCCCTAATTTCACCGAGCATCTTTATAACCCAGGGGTCCCCAACCCCCAGGCCGTGGACTGGTACCGGTCCTGGCCTGTTAGGAACCGGGCGCACGGCAGGAGGTGAGCGGCAGGCGAGCGAGCAAAGCTTCATCTGTATCTGCAGCCGCTGCCCAGTGCCGGCATCACCGCCTCAGCTCCCGCTTGCATCATTGAGCCTTAAGACTCTCATAGGAGCACTGACTCGGGGTGCCACAAAGGTTGGGGACTGCTGTGACAACCAGTGTTGTGAACTCTGCATCTGGGAGGTTGCTGGTCTCCATTTCGTTAGGTTCTTTTTCTGGAGCTTCGTTCTGTTCTTTCATTTGGGACATGTTGCTTTGTCTCCCCCTTTTGGCGGCCTCCCTGTGCTTGTTTCTATGTATTCAGTAGGGCTGCTATGTCTCCCAGTCTTAGGAGAGTGGTTGTGCGTTGTAGGTGTCCTGGGTGGTCCAGTGATGCAGTGTCCTTGGCCACCTGAGCTGGGTGCTTCAGCTGTGTTCCTTGTGTGGGTTATAGGTTCCCTCCTGTTGTAGCTGAGCCTTAGTTGCTGTTGGCACATTGATGGGGGGGATTGACCCTCGGGCTGATTGGCTGTGAGCAGGGGAGGAGCTGCCGGCAAGCTGAACCCATGGAGCCAGATTCACATTAGCAGAGCTCTGGTGCCTGCCCACTCCGCTCTTTGGGTGTGTTGTTTGTGGAGGTGGTTGGGTGGTGGTCTGGTGTGGTCTGAAGCTGGCCACCAGGTGTGTTGGTTTGAGGCCTCTTGCGAGGGGGCAGGCCAAGGTCAGCCACTGCCTGTGACCTAGGTGTGGTCTGAAGCTGGCCACCGGGTGTGTTGGTTTGAGGCCTCTTGGGAGGGGGCAGGCCAAGGTCAGCCATGTGTGGGTTATAAGTTCCCTCTGTTCGGCGTATTCTGTCTTTAGACTTGATGCCATGTTGTCTAAGATACTCATGACCTGCCTGTGACCTGCCCGGGTTCTTGAAGAATATTTAAAATGTTTTTTTCAATAGTAGTTTAACTGTTGCACCTGTGCTAGCATGCTAAGTGAAGTGACCTATTGAATTGTAATACTGGGGAATGGCCATTAGGTGGTGATAAAACACAAGCTTCTTGGTAGAGTGTCACTGTCCCAGAAGTCCCCCCGCCATACAGTGTGTACAATTTAGGGCACTGTTGAAATCAGAAGGTTGGCATAAGGTATTGTCAGCCAGACAGGGAAAATGAACACACAAAACCTCCACACCAATTGGTCAATTAATTAGTGTGTCATTTATAAGGCTTTTATCCAGGATCATTTATTTGGGGCAAAATGCTGTGCATTCTTCAAAGCCATTAAAACCAATAATCGGTTGTTTGGATTTCACACCTTTACATTCCACAGGAGGGTCTGAACTCAGTCAGCAATTGATTACCTACTGACAATTTTGATAACACACAGGATCTTCTATTAGCCTATAAATGGTTCTAGCTCCTCACAGAAGTATCAAGAGAACCCCAATTCCCTAAGTGGCTGAGTGTCCTTCCCTGTTTCAAGCCTTTTAGTCATAATAAAACATATGTCCAAATATTTGTAAATATCCTCCTGATCCTCACAAAAGTATTCCTTTAATTGTTGTCTAAGATACTCGGCTTTTTTACTATTTCTTTTGGAAGGACTTTTCGGTAAGTAAAAGACGATTTGCAAAATCTTTGACATATATCAGTAGGTCCGGTTGTTTTCTAGAAGTAGAGATCCGGAAGTTGTTTGAAGGCACGGCAGTGCTCTCGGGGCTGGAATATTCAGATTGTAAAGGGCTGGGTCGAGTGTGTGTGAGTAGCATGGTCGGGTTATGAGTGTCAGGGACAAATGGCGGGGGTTGAGGGGACTCATAAAAGCACAGGAGTGAGACGCCTTCTGTCACTGGCTCACGTGGGTGGATCACACTCGCAGTTTGAGATTAAAATGAGGCTGCTGGTTATTGTGCTTTGTAGTATTTTTATTCGCTAACATCTGTGGGGCG